TCTCTCTCCAAAACGGCAGAAATCTTTCCTCTCAAACTCTCTCTGTAAATCGTTCTTCTCAAGTTATCAATGAAGATTTGATGTTGTTTTTTACTGTTTTTCATTCTAATAAATATATTTAAGTAAAGGAAAAAAATTGGAGTTGTAACTTTTATTTTTTGTTTTTAAGAGAAAAAAAATTATTTCATTCGTCCTTTTCATTTGTTTTTTTTAAGATGTATAATTTAGTTATAAATACTTTATATTTCGCAACTTTTATTATAGCTAATAGCATTTTTTTTTAAAAAAAAACCTATTAAAAGAAAAAAAAAAATCACATAGAACATTTACCATATATATTTATTCGCATACAGGGCTCTTGCTTATTATTTTAAGTTGATTGGCATTAGTTGTTGCTTTAGACATATGTCCTCAGTTATAACTGATCTTCGATTTATTAAATCATAATATTCCAGGCCATGACTGGGAAAATGGTTATGATTATAGCTAATTTTTTTAATTACAATTATTGTACATTGTAGAGTCTTCACGTGCATGCTGTCCTTTTCCATTGTTGATTACCTTAGGTGATTAGATATAAACTAGATTAGTAAAAAAAATTAAATAAAACTCAAATTTAATTTTACATCACTATTTTCAATATAATTAAATAATATTAATATATTATTCTTACACACCACATCAACTTTAATTCACTGTTCATCCGCTCACATAATTCTAAATAACCATCAGTTTCAATCATTTAATTTTCTCATACTTTATATTAAATCAACTTTAGTTATTTTATTTAAAACTTAAATTTCAACTAATAACTAACCATACCACATTTTTTTTTAAAATCAACTATAGTTAAGAAAAAACCAATTATGAAAAAACCAGTCAAATTCATCAGTTTTGCTATGGAGCCATCAGATGGCTCGACTTATAAAGTTATTTACAGTTATTCACAAACAGTGTATTGACACCTGTCATACAATAAATACGCTATGGATAGGTGTCAATATATTAAGTGATTGATAGTTCTATAAGAAAATCATCCGATGATTCCATAAAATTCTTGTCAAATTCATAGCCAATCACACACTAATGATTTTGAGTAGAGCTTAATTATAGTTAAAATGACCAAATTCCCTAGGTGCCACTTTTTTTTTTGTCCGAAACGATAGAAGTACTATAGATAAGCGCACAAATATGCGAAAATACAAATTGAGAGGCTAGACCGAGGTCCGCCTCGAAACGCTAGCAACCCTAGGTGCCACTTAAAAGGTAGTTTTGTAATTTTGTTCAAATTCAGGGGTGTTATTGTTAAGAGAAATCCATAAATAACCCTCACTCACAACCAAGTCTCAAATTAAAACAGATCAAAGGGAGAGAGAATGAAGATAGTTTTGGTGATACTCTCAGCAGCAACTCTCCATTTTTCATTGTCTTTGGGTGATGGTAAGTTCATTCTTGCCTTTCCCTTTCTTTCTCATATAGATATATATTTATTTTATTATTATTATTATTATTATTATTATTATTATTATTATTATTATTATTATTATTATTATTATTATTATTATTATTATTATTATTATTATTATTATTCACAATATGTCACTTGAATGGAGTTTATTCATTTTGAATCGTTATAAATCATACAAATCACGAACATTTATTTTCACTAATGAAAACGTGAGTCACCAATATTATCTCTTCACTAAAACCAATTTTGATTAGATTTAGAGTGACTTAATTTTGAATAAAGTTATTTAAGTTGAGGATTGAGTGAGATTTTGAATTTTTATATAATAATATTTAAAATGTGATGATTAAAATTGATATGATATGAAAGTAATAGATAATTCACTATAAGAAAATGATAATATTCTAACGGAAATATATTGTAACAGAAGTAGTCCAACGGATATTTCAATACTATTATTTCCATTGAATTTTTCAATAGATTCCAACGGAAATTCTAACAAAAATATATTCCGTTGGAATAAGTTTTTTATTGGAATTTCTGTTGTATTTTGACGATTCCAACGGTAGATTTTACGACAAGAGTGGAAATAAAAATTCCAACATAAATTGCATTCCAATGGAAATTCCTACGGTAAAAAGCCGTTGGAAATATAGTCGTTGGAATCATCAAATTCCATCTAAAATTTCAATGAAAAACACATTCTAATGGAATATTTCCGCTGCAATTTCTCTTGGAATCATTCCAACGGAAGCTATACCATTGGAATTTCCAGTAGAATATATTATTATAGGATTTTTCGTCGGAATATAACAATTTTTTTGGTAGTGTAAGTTATTGAAAATGATAGGCAAATAAAGGTATGTGAGATATAATAGTGAATGAAAGTTAACATATATGATGCGTGAAAATGATTAATTAGTATTATTCAATTATATCGATAATATTGATTATAGTTGGATTGAATTAAGTTTAAGTTGAACGTTATGTTCAAGAGTTTAAGAAAATTGTACGATAATTAGTATTATTCAATTATATCGATAATACTGAAGTTAGTTAGATTGAATTAAGTTTAAGTTGAACGTTAAGTTGAAGAGTTTAAGGAAATTATACGATAATTAGCATTATTCAATTATATCGATAATACTAAAGTTAGTTGGATTGAATTAAGTTTAAGTTGAACGTTAAGTTGAAGAGTTTAAGGAAATTATACGATAATTAGTGTAAGAATATCACTTGTGAGTTGTCCCACATCGTTCATACATGGAAAATAGACTCACCTTATAAGTCTAATAGGCTACTCCTCCTTCCACCAATTGGTTTTGGAAAATGAAACCTCATTCGGACTTCATATGGGTTTTTCCCCTTTATGTTAGTGGGATGCACCCGTTTTCCCCCAATTTCTTACAATTAGCATTATTTTAGATTGAATTAAGTTTAAGTTGAACGGTAAGTTCAAGAGTTTAAAACTATACGATCAATTATTAAAACCAATTATATTTTATAGTCAATTTCACCTTCAGTGACCTTATAATATTGTTTATAGTTAAAAAAAATTAAAAAAAAAAAAAACAAATGATGGGCGTAACATGTCATCGCACGAGGGATGTAGATAGATCAAGGACATTACATTACATAACAGATGGAAATAATTTTATTAGTCTCACCTGTCAGTAATAATATAAAATTAAGTTTACAAATTTTAAATTATAATTTATTGAGGTGGTAAACATCATCTCTTTTATTTTATATCTTTTTTTAATTTTATTTCTAATGGACTTATATTTTCGGTACAATTTCAATGCAAACTGACATTGTCTTAAATTTGGTATTGTGTGTATTTATATTAACCAATAACGGATAATTGATATTATCGGTTAATAAGATACGTGTTACATTTGGTAGACAAAAAAGTTACTAGATTATAACTTATTTGGTTAGTTTATCATAGTTTCTTGTATGCTCTAAAACATTTTTTTAGGACAAGTGCCGAATGGCAACTTCGAGTACGGTCCAAAGCCATCCCAGATGAAGGGCAACAAGGTGATAGACCCTCACGCCATACCCCATTGGGAGACCTCCGGTTACGTCGGATACATAAAATCGAGCCAGAAACAAGGGGACATGCTTCTAGTGGTTCCGGAGGGAGCCTCGGCTGTGCGCTTAGGCGACGATGCTTCCATCAAGACCAAGCTCAAGGTCAAGAATGGCATCTTCTATTCCATATCCTTTAGTGCATCAAGGACTTGTGCACAAGAGGAGAAATTGAACGTGTCGGTTGCACCTAATCCTGAACCCAAGGACTGGGGAATTTTGCCAATCCAAACAGTCTACAGTAGTGATGGGTGGGATTCATATTGCTGGGGTTTCTTGGCTTACTCGGACGAGGTTGAGATTGTGATCCATAATCCGGGACTCGACAAAGTCCCAGCCTGCGGTCCACTCATTTATTCGGTGGCACTCAAGGCTCTATATGCCCCTAAAACACAAAGAGGTGACATTATTTGTTTTGATTTAATCAACACGATTTGTTTTCACGTGTATTGTCTTTATTGGAATGACTGTAGTCACGTTATGGAATCATTTCGTTAGTTTTTTAACCGTAGATTATTTACACTACACACAATATTCTCCGTGTGTATTTAACAGTTAAATACACTTACAGAATGATTCTGTAACGAAACTTGTCTATATTGCATCCAAAGAATCCAACTAATTAATGCTTTTTGTTTTGTTCTCCTCTTCTTGGTTGTATATTTATATTATATAGGCAATTTGTTGAAAAATGGCAACTTTGAAGAAGGGCCATACATCTTCCCCAACACTAGTTGTGGTGTTCTAATCCCACCCAACATTGAGGATGACCACTCTCCCTTACTTGGATGGATGTTAGAGTCCCTAAAGGCTGTGAAATACATTGATTCCGATCACTTTGGGGTGCCTAACGGCAAACGGGCAGTTGAACTAGTTGCTGGAAGGGAAAGCGCCATAGCACAGACAGTTAAAACCCGTCCCGGAAAAATATATGATTTAATATTCTTGGTGGGAGATGCTAAGAATAGCTGCCAGGGGTGGATGATGGTTGTGGCTACCGCAGGCAAAGAGACTATTCAAGTTCCTTACGAGTCCAAGGGTGCCGGTGGTTTTAAACGTGCGAGGCTTAGGTTTAAAGCCATATCACGACGCACTAGGATAAGGTTCCTCAGTGAATATTATCATATGAAGAGTGACAACTCGGGTTCACTGTGTGGGCCAGTGATTGATGATGTCAGGCTGATAACCGTTCCACGCCATCCTCGACGAACGTAAGCAATAGAGTCGACGAAGCAATAAAAGAACATGATTTATGTTAATGTTTATGTGAGTTGCCCTCTACCTTGAGGGTTGCATTCTTTTCTTTTCATTTTGTCATGGTGATAGGAAGTTGTGGTACTTTCTTTGTCTTGGTTACAGTGTCTTTCACAATGTAACTACATATCAAGCATGTTTTGAACTTAAATATATTTATTAAGTTATACATCAACTCTTTTATTACCAATTTTCATATCTTTTCTACTATTCTCAAGTAGTGAGGAATCCACAATCTTCACAAAGGCCCTTCGTAATCTATTACTATATAAAAGAGCTAAGGAAAAATGTTTGAAAAACTCAAATATAATTGTTTCATTTTCCCGCTCAAATGTTTAATTTTCCCCTCAAATTTTATTTGAAATATTTGGCTAATGTTTTATATGGTAATAGATTTTATAGGTTAGTTATAGATAACAGAATCTAGGAGATTCTAACTTTCCTTAAAATATAGAAATGCTTTTGTTTAACTAAAAGAATAAATAAATAAATGAATAAAACTAAGAATAGAAACGTGTACAAAGAATTTGAAGATCTTGTGGTAACATATACTCGCCAAAATGCGTTTGATTTTTTTACCAAAAAAATAGAAATGGGATGATCTTTATTTTTTTTTTCAATTGAATTAACCACTAATGTATATCTTACATAAATAAAATTTAATAAAAAAACCAAAAAAAAAAATTGTAACAATTTTCGAAATAAAAGCTTTCTAAGCGTCTGATTTAAATAAAATATTATTTTGAATATTTTTGTTTATTTTGGACATAAAATTTAATAAAAAAAGATAATAAAACAAAAATTGTGTTGTAACATTTTTTGAAATAAATACTTTCTAAGCGGCTGATTTAAAAAATAAAATATTTTTTTCTAAAATTTTTGTTTTGATTTAAAATTTTAATATGTTTATAATTAATGGTTTATTATTAATGGTAATTAAAAGAATCCAGTATGAAACACACTTCCTTATTTAAATTGAGTGCCAATATGTAAATTGATTTATTCCAATAAGTTCCCAACCAATCTCAATCACCAAAATTACACCACTAATGTTTATGTTACTTTAATTAAAAAAAAAAATCTAACTATAACTGTGTGAAATTAATTATAATTTGCCTCCAATAAGTTCCCAATCAATGTCAATCACCGAAATTAATTAGTATATTACGTAAATAAAACTGAAGATAAAAAACATGTGCAATGATCGTGTATAAAGAAATAAATAAGTCGTATAACATAGATTGATTGCAGAAACAATTCTAAAATATGTGGATCCTTACAATCCTTTTGATTCTACGTAACCAAATTTTAAATCGGATATTAGGTAAATTAAATTTAATTAAAAAAAAAACAAAAATTGTGTTGTAACATTTTTCGAAATAAATACTTTCTGAGCGGCTGATTTAAAAAAAATATATATATATATATATATTTTTCAAAACATTTTTTTTATTTAAATTTTTAATACATTTATAAATAATGGTAATTAAAAGAATCCAGCAAATATGAAACTCATTTTACTCTATTTTAAATTCAAAATTATATTTTTAAATATATTAATAAATATTTATTATTTATTTTTTTCCTTATGTGATATAATCTAAATTTAGTTATTAGATTTTTAAATTCAAATATTTAAAGAAAAATATCACAAGATTTTTTAGGTATATTTCATTTTATCTTAACTTTCATATAATTACATTTATAACAAACTAATTAATATAGTTACATTTATCTAACCGAATTTTTTAAAATATAATTATTACAATATTTTAACTAATTAATCTTTTGCCTAACCGAATTATCTCATTAATAAACTTGCCATTTTTTTAAATAAAAATAGTAAGATTATTCTTACGGGTATATTTACCATAATATTAAACACATTAGAAACTTTTTGAAAACAAATTTAAATTATCTTGCCTTTTACTCTATTTGAAATTAATAAACAATATTGTTAAATATATTAATAAATATTTATTATTTGTTTTTTTCTTTATGTTAAAAATTATTGAAAGATTTTGTTTATTGATTTTCCTCTAAGGGTGCTTTTGAAATATTTAATAAACACCCGTGTAGATTTTTTCCTTATATTTTTTCTTATGTAAAAATAAAATTCTTTTTGAAAGCACAATAATTTTTTCCTTAAACATTGAAAATTTCGATACGTTTATTGGTTTCTGATGGGATGACGTAAGTTGAGATTTTTCAATCCAATTTCGATTGTTATGTTGTCTAATTTGTTAATTTAATTATATTGAATTTGATTTTATAATAATTTTAAATTGTTACTTTAATTAGATTGAATTTGATTTTATAATAATTAAATATATGATGGGAATAGAAATTTTTACTAATGTTTTGATAAAATAAATTAAAATAGAAAGAAAAAAAGATGATATAAGATAATATTTTGATTTCTCTTTTAATTCGATAAGTAATTTGACTAATGGTTGATCATTGAATAAATTGGTCTGAAGTAACATTGAAATTGGCATATGAAAGTGCTTAAAAAATTAGATGATTTTGATGTGTAAAAATAAAAATAAAAAATAGATTTACTTTAAAGTGTGGATTCTTTCTATTATTTTTTGTACATTAACAACCATTGATTGTATAATTGATTTTTTTTTTACAAAAAAAAAAAAAATCAAAACTGCAAGGTTTAATAATACTCCTTAAATAAAAAAATATTGTCTAAAGAGAAGTGCTTAATAATATATATTATAAACAATGATATTTAAAATAAGGTCTAAAAAATGTTTAAAATATTAGCTCCTCCATGCATTGCACGGGATATGCACTAGTGATAAATAACAGAGCTTGCAGCCTAAATTGTAGAAAAAATTACCGCCACTTAGTTTTCTTTTATGAGAACAAACAATACCGATTTCAATTTTTTTACTTAGAGGTATTAATAAACTTACAAAATTAAATAAATTGAAATAATTATCTTATTTGATAAGATACTTACGGTCAAATAAACTTTAAATGTCATTGAGAAAATCGTAAAATCATTTAAAAATTTCAAGATAATACCAACAAATAAAATATTCAATGTATAAAAATTTTAATTCTCACTATTTATTTAGAGCCCATCTTGGCTCAAATAAATTAATAATAATTAAAATATGATGATATATTTTAGTTAATTATTGAATGAAAATTTTTATAAATTGTAAGTGTCAATAGTTAAAATATTATTCACCTTGATATTAACCACCTAATGGTCAAGTGAAGATTCGTTAACTTTATTGACTTTGTGACCACAATTAAAAAAAAAAAACAATCAAACAAACAAACAAACAAATAAATGACGATTTTTGTGAGATCAAAATTAAATCCAATAAAACTAATATTTGATTTCTATATTTTTTCTAAATAAAGAGTTTATTTTCTTAAATACTGAAGTGGTTAAATGAATTGTTCACTTTTCTACTTTGTTGATTATGTATATATTTCACGGTGCATGATTTCGGTAAAATTTTAGGTATATTCTCATAATTAATATTAAGTATGTATCTTTAGAATTATTTATTATATACAAGTTACCCCTTAATTAAATTATACCTTTTTACCCAAATTCATTGTTTCTGAAAATTGTAAATAAATAGTTGAAAATATTTATATTCTTTATAAGAATTTATTATGCTATTTTTTGGATCAATTTTCTTAAAAAAAAGTTTATATATTAGAATTATAAAATATGTATTACTAAGATATAATGAGTAGTTATTATGCTATTAATTAAAAATATAAGATATGATGAGTATTAGTGTATTACTAATTTATTATTAAAAATATGTCAAAGTAAGGGTTTCTTAGGTATTTTATTTGTTAATTAAAGATATAAGATAAGATTGGTATTAGTGCATTACTAATTTAGCATTAAAAATATAAGATAAGATGAGTATTATTGTATTATTAATTTTTCATTGAAAATATTTCAAAGCAAGAGTTTTTTAGGCAATTCATATTTTTACAAAATCACTCGTCTTTTTATAATATATATAGATGAACAGATAGATCGGGAGATGGAATTTGTCTGATCTGACGTCACCGTTGTGAATGAAAATAGACTTTCAAACTTTCTATCATACGGGCGTGAACTTTTGAACTTGAAATTGACCTTCCGGAAAAGAAAAAGAAAATAAAAAAAATTCATAACTTTTGCCACTAGGAAGCTAGGCTTGATCGGCGATTGCCTGTAATTGAACATAGGCGGGATAATGTATTCATTTACCATAAGCGTCTAGAGAAGGTATGGTCCGGTAGCTAAGACCATCTCCAGTCTTTATCTCCACTCTAGTGTAGAGTTTACTCTACTCTAGTGTAGAGTAGAGTTAAACAAAAATCAAACTCGGTCTCCAACTGTTCGCGCTACATTCTACTCCACATATATTATTTTTATTATTTTAATTTATTTAACATGTCAAAATATTATTTAATTGGACATATTATGTTATAAAATAAAATATATAATGATGTTAGTTGAGTCTGCTACTAGTTTAAAATATTATTCCACAAAGAATTATAATTTTTATATATTATTTGATTTATTATATAGTAACTTAATATAAATATATATTTTTTAAAAATAATAATTTCATATAATTCTAAAAAATTACAAATGTAGTGGTACGAACTTTGTCAAATAATAAATTTAAGATAAATCTATTATATATAATATAAAAAATAAAAAAGCAAATAAAAATTATAGAGTAATGAATAGTACCGTTCTAGATGTAGAGCCATACTGTTCATAACTCTAGAGTAGTGCAGAGATGTAGTGCGTCGTTGGAGAGCAATTTTGTCTCTATTCTAGCGTAATATGCTAGATTTACTGTCAGTCAATGTGAGTGTAATATTAATTTGTTCAACCTCCATTCATTTGATAGACCACCACAACTACCATATTAATTTATTAAATCACTCAAACAAAATTTCTCTACTTTCCAACA